TGTGTGTGTGTGTGTGTGTGTGTGTGTGTGTGTGTGTGTGTGTGTGTGTGTATGTGTGTGTGTGGCGTGCGTGAATATTGTTCGTACATGCATTTATGTAAAGCGCCTAGAGCTGTATTTACACGGGAGTGGGCGCTACAGAAATGATCTTCATTATTATTATTATTGTTATTATTATTATTATTATTATTATTACTATTATTATTATTATTATTATTATTATTATTATTATTATTATTATAATTATTAACTTATATTCTTTCATTATAAAATGGAAATATATATATATATATATATATATATATATATATATATATATATATATATATATATATATATACTAACCAATGAGTGTTCTATATAATGTGATGAGGGCCATTGGCCTAAACATTGAATAAACTTACCTACTTTACATTGTTGATCTTCAGAACTTTTGTTTTTCCTGGGTGTACCTTGTCTGTGCTTTGTGAGATACTTAGATAAGATAAGATAAGATAAGATAAGATAAGATAAGATAAGATAAGATACATCTTTATTGTCCAGATCCTGGCACATTGTTTTGGTGTTTCACCAAGTACACACATACACACACACGTGCGCGCGCGCACACACACACACACACACACACACACACACACACACACACACACACACACACACACACACACACACACACACACAAACACACACACACAAACATCCATACACACGCAGGATTACAGCTACATGCATATAAATGAACAGTAATACAATGTATAAACAATTATCATAATGTTCAGCTTGATACATACTCAGTATTCTGCTTGTAATTCAGTGTTATTTATTCTGATTCATGCTCTAAGGTCATATATGAATAATTTTAACAAAATGGTTAAGGTGGAATAATTTTGATGGTCCTAGGTCTTCCCCTTCAAATGGCGGTGAATGTGGGATAGCAAATCCAGGTTGTCGGTAGTCTAGATTCTCCAACTGCTTTCATAGCGTCCTCTGTTACACAGTATTATTGTCCTTTTGGCTCTGAAATTGATTTCATTACATGTATCAAGTGAACAGCGAGAAAGAAAAGGAATTGTGGCAGTAGGCTAAACATCGCTGTTTCACTCTGGTCTGCATCTCGAAGCTTCTAATGAACTGGCTGTCATGGATGGCGATGCATCTCAATCCCTCACAGAAGCTCTGTATCAACTTCACCAGCTTTAAAAGTATTCCAAAATGTCGCAGTACTTTCCATAGTGTAGTGAGTTGTGAACTGCGCCTTCTCATAGTCTACGAAACTTACCAGAAAAAAAGGCGAGGGATCGGGTGGGGTGGGGGGTGGGGGCGTCCGTTTCAAAGGTTGCTCTACTTATATATATATATATATATATATATATATATATATATATATATCTATCTATATATATATATATATATATATATATATATATATATATATATTAAAATGTCTATCTGTTATTTAAAAAAACCCAACAACAACCAACAAACCGTTTCCCTTCTCGATCTGCCTCTTTAAACACATCTTTATACCTAAAGGCTGCTCATATTCCCTTGTTTAGGAAGACGTTTATATTTAGTTCGGCCTTCCTTTTCATGGAACGTCATTTTGGTCGTTCAGCAACAATCTGGGAGGCAAGAACAAGTGTCAGCTCCGAAAGTCTCATTGTTGTGGCGTTTGGTTCATTCATTTCGTTACTTGGAAAGTAACTAATCTAATCTTTGGAGTTGAAAGTGTAGCCTAGTGTGGTACCCAGAATTGATCATCGGCAGTAGGAGGAGGCTAGGGGTGGGGGATGGGGTGAAAAAGGGTGTATGCTAAACGGTATGGGAGAGTGGGGAGAAGTGGCCCACCTAATGAATTATGAGCTACAAAAGGTGTACATTTTTTAAATATGCAACGACATTTCTAAACATGGTGTTGTTGCAAGAGACACTCCCTCTCTTTGCAAAAGCAGGTCAACAAAACAAATTTTAAATTAATAATAATACTGTTTTCAAGAGGGTGTGGTGGCGGAGCGGTTAGTGCGCTCGTCTCCGAAGCAGAAAGTCCGGGTTCAAGCCTCGTTTCAGACTCGGATTCTTTTCGCCCCCTCCTGCCCACCCAGCAGTAATGGGTACCTGACTTCGAGCTGGGGAGGTAAAGGCGGAGTGGAAAAGAACTGGCCACCCTACCACAATATGCTGAAGGCCCAGGAAGTTGTCTCACTAACAAGGCAATCCCTAATGTCCGGATCGGAGGCGGGAACAACTTTACTTAAAAAAACAACTGTTTTCTTAACGAATTATTTTAATATGGTAGGTTAAGATTAAGAAAAAAAAAAAAAAAAAAGACAGATCTAGTTAAGTTTCAATTTCAAGGGGAATACTTCAAATTTTCGAGAACTGATTTAAAGAGATATTCCCCTCCCTTCACTCCATTTTCTACTCAGCCAAGACAACTGTAAGGGCGAAAATACAGAGAAAGCTGAAACTTAAGCGGCTGAAGATCGACGCCACGAGGTGTCTGCTTGACTTTGACTCCACATAGAGGGCGCCTGAGGCCTGGATCTAGATCTAAGAAAAACAATTACACCACAACATAGCTGGTAGGCTATTTATGAAGCATTTATTTTGGGACCCCCCCCCCCCGAAATTACTAAAAATA